TTCAAGTGATGTATTTAAATCGAAAGAAGTTACAAGCAATCTCTGTAAACAAAAATTTGTTTTTGAAACTTTTTCAGTGCTTGTAAGGCTGATTCGAGTTACAATATTAGTGAATTTCACTATTTGATCAATATCCATTTCATAATTTAATACATATTCGTATTCTGTAATTTGAAAAATACTCTTCAATACACAACTACGAGTATAATTACAATTACATTTTTACATATTTTTATAGAATTTAGATAATTTTGCACTATTTTAAAACCAGTTTAAAAAAATAAAATTGATATTATAAAAGGTACAAATATTATTACATTGGTTTTCAATATTTAATGCAACCAGTGACTTCCTTTTTTGTTTAGAATTATTTGTTATTCAAAAGGAGTGTATTCATTTAAAAATTTTTACAAGTAGGAACTATTTTGCAATTAAAACTGTGTATGATATTAAAAAATACTATACATTTAATATTTCTGAATTTCTACTTAATTTTAGAGTAATGACAGATTTTTTCTATAGACATTTTGACTTGGAATTAGTGATGGGAGAACTCTTATGAAAAATTGATTATGTCCAATTCTTAAAAGTATTTGTTCTTGCATACTTGCTGAAAGTATTTGAATACTTTATGTTCTCGATAGTTGCTAGGTTATCTAGCAAATATATTGCAGTGTGAGAAATATTGAAATTAATTTAAATCAGCTACTAATTCATCATACTGAATGAATTGGAATATTTTTTGGTTCTCGGTGGTTACTAAAAAGTTCTCACTTGGACAAACGAATGACTCGTAAATAGAAAGAATTTCAAATAATCAATATATCTACGCACATATTGTTTAAAAAAAATATTTAAATTTTTATTAGAAACAAAAAATATATTTTAAAGCAAAGGAGGAGGGGCCCTAAGACCGGTCTTTGGCCTAATTTACTTTTGGCTCACCCTTACCCTCCTTTCCCGCTCCACCACTTTAAATGCCGGAGAAACCATCGCTTATTAGAGGAATCTTTAAAGAGCTTAGAGATGTGAAAGACATTCAATTCCTATGAATCTTACATATGAAGAGTTTTTCGGGTCGCTGATCACGAATCTGGTCTGAGAATCACGAAATTCAAAATGGCGGATCCAATATGGCGGACAAGAAAATTGAAATATCTTCAAAATGCATGAATTTTTTTGTAATGGGGTTTTTTGGGTCTATAATTACGAATCTGGACACTAAATCACGAAATTCAATATGGCGGACAGGAAAATTAAAATGTTATTAGAATGAATTTTTGTGTAGTGGGTTTTTTTGGGTCTCTGATTACGAATCTGAAGGCAGAATTTTGAAATTCAAAATGACGTATTCCATATGGCGGACAAAAAAATTAAAAAGATCTTCATAATCCTCAAATATTTGTTTATAGAAACTTTCTTGGATCACTCATTACAATTATGAATTCAGAATCACGAAATTCAAAGTGGCTAATCGAATATGCACAAACATGTAGGTATGTATAATTTTTGATTTTTTCTTTTTCGTTTTATTGAACGTAAATGTTTCAGCTCATTTAAGGGGGTGGTGGGGGAAAGGAAGGTGAGAGGGTTGGTTCGTTTAGGGTGGAAACGATTCAGTATTGCTAGTAGGAACTAAAAAATTTTTTTTCAATTTTTTCAGACAAAAATAAATTAGGCCACAAACCGGCCTTGAGGGTCGTCCTCCTTTAAATGCTACACAAAACTTTATATAATGAAAATGTTAATCTACCACCGCACCGCGATTACAATGTGCATCAAACAACAATTAATCTTCCTCTCGGCACTTGGTTCTCGATTCTCAGTTTCCGGATAATCATTCGATTCTTAAAAGTATTCGAGAACCAGGTACTCGATTCTTAAGAATACCCAATTCTGCCCATCACTACTAGAAATACAGCGTGTCCCACTAGTACGAGAAAGTCCAATATCTATGTTAAAATGAGGAATATATGGATGTTTCTTTTTACTGTGTTACCACATTTCTCGGAATGTACAAATTAAAAATATATTCAACTATACAGGGTGTTCCACTTTTCCTGACCAGACACCAACTTTGGTTTTTTAAATGGAAACACACATTTTTTATATTTTTTTCGGATTCTACATCACAAATAAAGGGTACTTTGTGTAGAACAGTTCTATTCAATTATTCACAGTTTTTAAGATATCTCGCTTGAAAGGTTTTTCTAGTCAATATTGGTTGCTTACATTTTCTAATACTGACAGGTTATACTAATAGCTACTAAGCCCATTTTTTTATCAGATGTTTAGTAAGGATGATTCTTCCGAATCATGATCCAAAAACTGGCCTGCGTTATACAGGGTGTCCAAAATATCATGTCAAAATTGCCAATTTAAAAATTGAAAAATCTCGATTTTTTTAAATGCAACACCCTGTATATTTTCATACCATGAGATGCAGAATTAAATTCTCTACAACTTTGCTATACTTGCTCCTATACCAAAATTCATTAGTTTTTCATGAAATCTCATTTCTATGAAAAAATGCGAAGTTTACAAATAGCTTATATGTAAAATAACATAGTAGGCTCCTGTCAAAGGATAATCTGGAAAATTTTCGATTCACATAAGGTTTAATAGAAAAGCGACAATAATTGTGAAATGAATTACTCTAAAAAAGAATTAGTAAATAAATAATAGAATAATTAGTAAAACTCATGGTAACTGTTTATTGGCAAGATTATTTACCAAGCTAATAATCCAGATTTACAAAGATATCCTCGTACAAAGTGTTTTGTAAAACTGAAGGAGAGGTTTGAAAGAACAACAAATGCAAATTATGAGAAGACAACAAGAACACACGCATGCAGTATCCAAAACAGTAAATTAACATCGTGCATTTCTCACAAAAGTAATAAAGACCTAGTTAAATTAGTAATTAGTAATTAACAGGTAACCGCTCAAAATGTCTGCCATTTTTCTCTAGACATTTAGCAATTCCACGACGAAAATTGCTTGACACATTTCGCAGCATTTCCGGAGTTACGGTCAAAAAGCATTTCTTATCTTTGCCCGTAAATCTTCTATATCTGTCGGAGGAGTTTCATACAGCCTGTCTTTTATATAGCCCCATAAAAAAAAATCAAGACAAGACAGGTCTGGGGATCGGGGAGACCATGGAATTGGACCGCCTCTAACTATCCACTTATCTGGATACAAACCATTTAAGTGTTCTCTAATCTGAAACAGTTTTTCTATGAATTTACATAACTTACATAATGAGAAAACTTACCGTCAGTGTGGCCTGTGCTGGGGCACCATCATGTTGGAACCACTGACTGTTTAAGTCATCCGGAGAAATATGTCCCTGCAATTGGAGCAAGTCGTTTTGTAAAAATTGCAAATACCCATTACCCGTTAAGTTTCCTTCAATAAAATGTGGTCCAATGACATATTCTCCGCATATTCCCGCCCAAATGTTGACATTAAAGCGGTGTTGATAATCGTCTTGTCTTATTAATCTGGGATTATGATCGGCGTAATGGTGATAACTATGTCGATTCTCTCGACCAGTATTGGCAAAGGATGACGCGTCAGTAAATAACACCTTTGAAAAAAAAATTTCATATTGTAGCTTTATAGTTGCCCACTCACAAAACTGTACTCGCTTCTGAAAATCTTGCTGTGTTAAGAATTGGTGATGCTCAGAATGATAGGGGGGGGTTGATTTTCTTTAACGTTCTATTAACCACACTTTTGGAAATACTAATTTCATCACTAATTTCTCTGACACTTGTAGATGGATTTTGGACTGCACATCCCAAAATGTCAATTTGACTATTCTGATTACTGCATGTGTGTGTTCTTGTTGTCTTCTCATAATTTGCATTTGCCGTTCTTTCAAACCTCTCCTTCAGTTACAAAACACTTTGTACGAGGATATCTTTGTAAATCTGGATTATTAGCTTGGTAAATACGACTTGGCAAGTCTAAACAGTTACCATGAGTTTTACTAATTATTCTATTGTTTATTTACTAATTATTCTTTAGAGTAATTCATTTCACAATTATTAATGTCGCTTTTCTATTAAACCTTATGTGAATCGAAAATTTTCTAGATTATCCTTTGACAGGAGCCTACTATGTTATTTTACATATAAGCTATTTGTAAACTTCGCATTTTTTTCATCGAAATGAGATTTCATGAAAAACTAATGAATTTTGGTATAGGAGCAGGTATAGCAAAGTTGTAGAGAATTTAATTCTGCATCTCATGGTATGAAAATATACAGGGTGCTGCATTTAAAAAATTCGAGAATTTTCAATTTTTAAATTGGCAACTTTGACATATTTTGAACACCCTGTATAACGCAGGCTAGTTTTTGGAGCATGATTTGGAAGAATCATACTTACTAAACATCTGATAAGAAATGGGCTTAGTAGCTATTAGTATAACCTGTCAGTATCAGAAAATGTAAGCAGACAATATCGACCATAAAAACCTTTCAAGCAAGATATCTCAAAAACTGTGAATATTTGAATAGAACTATTCTACACAAAGTACCCATTATTTTTTATGTAGAAACCGAAAGGAATATAAAAAATGTGTGTTTCCATTTGAAAAACCAAAGTTGGTGTCTGGCCAGGAAAAGTGGAACACCCTGTATAGTTGAATATATTTTTAATTTGTATATTCCGAGAAATGTGGCAACACAGTAAAAAGAAAAATCCATATATTCCTCATTTTAACATAGATATTGGACTTTCCCGCACTAGTGGGACACGCTGTGTAATTTAAACGAACTTTTTAAAGTTCTATTAACATAATACATATTAACAAAATTGCAAAATCAAGTGCAAAATCGAGTGCAAAATTTAATAAAATCACTCATATATTTTTAAAACAAATTAGTTAATAGAAAATCTATGTTTGTGGTGTATTTTACACGTATTTACAATATTTTTTAAGCTGTTATATTCTTAATTTAATTCTAAAAATCCTTATAAAATGGTGCTAAACTGAATGAAATTTATTAAAAGACAAGGCAATATAAAACAATATGTGACAAAGTGATTACTGATTACTTGTGTTAATTCGGAAAGCTGATAAGAAAATATTTAGAGTACATGACGAATTAGAAAACTATTAATAATAAAATAATAAATATTAATTACTAACATTAAAAAATATCAAGAGACTATTCATAAGTTGTTAATTCGATCTATAATTTGTTTGAAATAGTAGAAAAATATTTCAATAATTTACTAATTTGTTTAATAGAAAAGTAATCAAAAAAATTAGTTTTGTATATTAAGGTAAACTTGTTCAAATTTGTTTCAACTTATTCGGTTCATATCCATACTGAGAATATATTCTGTAAATTTACAAGTTCATAATTTATCATTTTCATAAATGACATAAAAAAGTTTATAATTTGGACCCCACTGCAACAATTCTAATAGTGCTAAAAATCATATCCCTCAATGTTGTAATAATTATTTTGTTTTTTTTTATGATAAATTTGAATTTTCTGCTACATCAACGTTTTGTTTTAATTTTAAATCATCCTCAGGGTTGTAACAGGAAATAAACACAATTAAATAATTTCGCAAAGTTATAAAACTTACTAACAAATACAAGCACAAATTACAAAAAAATTTGCTATTTATTAGCTAATTTTGTGATTAGCTATATTTATATTAGTAAGTTTTATAATAACTGTAATCATTTAAGTTGCCTAAATATATATAAATTACAAATCTGAGAAAGATTTAAAATGAAATCGAAAAGTTAAAACTCAATTTCTATTATCCTAAAAACCAACAAAGTAATTATAACAATAATTGTAATATTTGTAAGTAGTTTCGTACATAATCAATAAATAAATACATAAATCAAATCTAATACCTAATTATAATTATCTCCTAAATTTGCTTTTACTATATGGTTTATTATACCTATCACTCTTCTTGAGGGGATGTTTGTGTTTGAAACTACTGATGGCGGTTGTCTGCGACTTATTATACTGATACTGTACGATAACAGGTGGTTTAGTTGCAACCGTATCATTTATCTTAAGTTCGTCTTCTTGTTTTTTCTCCATTAATTTTAGTTTAGCCTCGATAGCCTGAATTTGGGATATCCTATCAGTCTTTTTACCTTCTTTTGACATAGCTAATGCAGGTATTACTATTTCAGGTTTTGGTTTCTCGACTTCTTCCTACCATAAAATAGCCATTGTAGGTAATGCTCTATTAATAACACTGTTACTTACATTATTGACACTATGTGCCCAAGTTACTATGATATTCTTCTGTCCCACTAATAAGTTATGTAATGCATTCTTTGCAATAATAGCGTCTTCTTGTTTTACGTATGTAACAAAAGCATAACCTCTTGGTTGTCCGACTAAAGGTCCGTTTCGATGAAAAATTAGATCAAACTTCTCAATAACACCATGTTTTTGCACAAGTTTTAGAAGGTGATACCAGTAAAAGAAAGATACGTTTAAGTTAAAAATGTTTAGGGTTGAATATGTGACGTTAAAATGTTACAAATAAAATTTTTAACAATGAGAATATACAAATAATTAAAAAAAGTAACAATTAAAGCTGTTCTAAAAACAATTATATACTCCTTTGTTAGTAAAGCAGGTTTTGTGAGATTTGTGTTATTAGAATTTGATGAACACTTACTCAGTAACTCTAGGATCCAAATTACCGATCCATAACCGCTTGTCCTCCGTAGAAATAACTTTTTTAGCTGAATTATCCATATCTACTGAAAATGTTGGGGTGATAAAAATCAATACAAGGGAGAAAATAACAAGCGTCAATATAAAAATATTACTTACCCTAGTGTGATAAAACTTAGTGGTACAATTTATGCAATATAGGCCCCATTGAAATGTAGTTATTTTTAAAAGAAAAAAGCTAAAATTATTTTAATGCAAACATATCCATGTTTAGACAATTCCATCCGACTTCCCATAATTCCATTCCATACCAAGCTGTCGTCAATTCTCAAATCTCAACTGTCAATGTCATCTCATCTCTGTCAAAAACCAAGTCACAGCACCATGGAACATGTTATTAACATTGTAGAAACAGTTATTGTATTGGCCCACCTACGAAGGCTGTCCAGGCCTACACGAGATGAGGCAGGATAAAGAGGGATAATCCCCCTCGATCCCAAATCATTGAGGCCAATTTCTAGCCATAGAATAATGGCGCGCGAGTTATTGTATCCAGAGATTCATGTGAAAAAATCCGTAACACAAATTACACAAGATCTGTAAAAAAAATTCGTAAAAATGAAACATGAAATTCCCCTTCTGCGGTTAACAACTTCAAAAAGCTTAGAGTATATACTACATGGACGGAGCACGCTTGCTTATAGCGATAGTGTAGATGAGTAATAGAGAGAGAAAGAAATAGTTTGGGTATTATCCTTCTCTATCGCTCTTGTCTATTCTGGTGCTATTTAAATAAAAAATTTAAGAGAGAGAGCAGTACCCAAAGTATAGGTAGCTCTTTATGTCTACTGCGTTTACTGTTTTTAACACGCGGTGCTTCCATGTAGTATATGTTCTAAGCCAAGAATAATTGGTCATTCTCATTCTATTATTGTTGACATTGTTTAGGGCAAGTTAGATCGCCCGCGAATAGAGGGCAACAGAGTCGACGCCGTTAAAAAGAGAGGACGTCTCAAAAAGAGGCAATTTGTTGTTTAAATTGTAATAATAGTTAAAAGTGTGCGAATGTAATAAATAATATGACATTCGTAATTTATCACTTCTAATCTGATGGTGTCGATCGCAATGCCCCCATGATCGTGACGGCTTACAAAACGGCTTACAGAACAGACCGAAGATGTCTGCGTAGCACACTTAGATTTACCACAACAACAGACGACCTAAACTTTCCTAACTGTGGACAATGTTAAAAAGTAAACTATACCCTTTTTTCCAAACTTTGATTTATGACTGTTCCAGCAACACAAAAACATGTACACCTATATCACATTCACATTTTACAATTTACGAGTTATTTTGTGAAAGAAACATGACATGAAAAACAAAAATACTATTTAATCTGTATCGGTTATCAAAGTATTTTTGTAATAAAATATTAATATTGCATTTCTTATATGATGAAATAAATAAAAAGATTGAATAAAGTATAATAATTGTTTATATTAAAGAAATATCCAAAACAGATAATCTGCAAATATGTATATTGTAGTTATCAGAAAAAACGTATTGTAACAGACGGTAATTAAAAATGTTACATCAGACTTAACTACTTACTTCACCACTTACCAAACTTTTGTTTACAACAGCCTTTTGCGTTTTACAATTTGTTTTTAATTTTTAAAAGATGAATATCAACAACGTATCTATTTTAAATCAGCGTCAAAATGATTCATTCATTACAATCTTACAAAAAATCACAATTTTGTTTACCTGTATATCTTTAACTCTATGGTGTAACGGAAAAATGTTGACAATGTAGGTACCTAATATTAAACAAGAAAAAAAAGCTATACCTAGATAAAAATAATATTTTATTTTTATATTAATCTAGACAGATTGCCAATATTTCTGATAGTTTTTTCAAAATATCGTATTTTCTAGTACCATTTGTTTTTCATGTTTGTATGTACAAAGCAGTAGATAACTTTTGTGCCGAGCGGTTTGAGTTTTTAAAAACAAAATTTCTTTTTATTTTAAAACTTTCACAAAAGTATGAATGAATATAAAGTCGAAATGAATACAATAATCTCAAAGGTATGAGCTCTGTATTACCTCTATACGATAACTGATTAAACAATGAACTTGACCCATATTTACAATAAGTTTAGCAGAACAATGAAACTTCAAGGGTTGCAAAGTCAGCATCGTGTCGGGATTGATAACACAGGTTGCTTGGAAAAGCAGGGCACCGTCCTGTCGCCACACTTATACACCATTTACAACTCCGACATCCCACATCCCCCCAACACCAACATATACTTATACGCCGACGACCTGACTATCACATCCCAATCCGTAGATCCTAGATATTCCGTCTCCCTCCTCCAAAACTCCTTAGACCAACTTGAAACCTGGTGCAACAGGTGGAAAGTCAAAATTAATCCCAACAAAAGTTCGGCTATCCTTTTTACCAAACGAAAAATCCCACAAAACCTCGACAGACTGACATATCCCAGGAACCCATCTCCTGGAATCGACAAACACGATACCTGGGCGTGACGATGGACCAGCGTCTCACGTGGAAACCGCACATCGTGGAGACGGTGGCGCGAGCGAAGACCACCAGGGCTAGGCTCTATCCCTTACTCAAAGGTGGAAACACCCTCAGTTTAAGGAATAAGCGAACGCTTATCAAGGTGGTACTTCAACCGCAGCTAACCTACGCCTCCACGGCGTGGGGTCACGCGGCAAAAAGCCACTTAAAGTCATTACAGGCTGTGGAAAACATAGCCCTACGCACGGCCACCGACGCGCCCTGGTACGTAAGAAACACTGACATATTACGAGACTTACAATACACAAACGCTACACAGACAATAAGACAAAACGCGGAGAAACGATTTGACGTAGCCGCTAGACATGACAATCCCCTCCTCAGGCAAGCCGTTGACTACGTACCCGACGTGACCGACAAACACAAAAGACCTAGACACCAACTTTTTGACCCTGGGTGAACACCCCAATGCCCCCCCCCCTGCCCGCTAACCTTTTCTGTTTCAGAGACAGCTAGGATCAAGAAACGAAGACAACGACACACACACACACATACACACCCCCCCATACCCTCCTTACCCCTCCCCGCCGCGCTAGCCTAAGGGCCACCTTAGCAAAGCGCATCCCAGGCTGCATAGCCGCACTACCCTACCCAACCATACCACACATAAACATGACACTACCCCCGGGGTTTACACAGACGAGCCGGCGAAGCAAGAAGAGCGCCAGAAGAAAGGGCCCTAGCCGGCGGGGCCCAGCCAGGACAAAAGGAGGTCCCACAAAGCGCCTACACCGGCCGCAATTGCGGTCGGGGTAGACGACGGATGGGGCCCACCTACGAAGGCTGTCCAGGCCTACACGAGATGAGGCAGGATAAATAGGGATAATCCCCCTCGATCCCAAATCATTGAGGCCAATTTCTAGCCATAGAATAGTGGCGCGCTTGGAAAAGCAGTTCATAATATACGAAAATGGGTTACTTAATCAATTTCAAACCGATTTTGTTTTTTTTTCAATAGTAATTAATAGACAGATTATTTTTTATTTTAGATTATTGTTATTTTAGATTATTGTTAATGACCAAATAACAAAAAGTAAAGGGTTTATACGCGCACAACTTCACCTAATAGTTTATGAAAATTTATAAAAATATGAAAGCCCTAAAATAACTAAAGAATTCCTGTCAATAAATTGATTTAAAAACAAAAAATTGTGATTTAAAAAATTATTACACCTTTCATTCTAGTAACCTTGTATGAGTATCAAAACCGGTAGTGAGAATACATGAAGTAGATTTAAAAAATAGTATTATGTTAAAGAAACTATTTAACTTGATATGTCGATATCAATTCTATGTGGAAATGTAGTACTAGTAATATCAGTCATGAGACTGATAATTACGGTTCTATTACTGAAACTTCAGATAGCAAAAATTAATTGATACTTTAGTTGTGTGGTCGGAAACTCATAGGTATATCGATGCGATTCTACAAGCAGATACAGAAAAATTAGATAATAGTACCTACCTATATCGTGGTTTTAAATGTTATTGATTTATCATCATCATAATGTTTAATTTACTACATAATCTGATAGATATGTCAACGAGGAAACTTAAATTTCTTATAGAAACAAAAAAAAATAGTATACTAATTAATATCAGTACCTACATTAACATTACTCAAAACCTGCATACGGGACTGTAGTAGGAGGGCAAACTATTTTCTCATCAGGGCACGAATCTGAGAATTAGAGATAGATAGTGGCTAATTACTCGTACACTGGTAGACATGATTCGTGTGGATTCAGTACGAATGGTCATTTCGCCAAGATTTTGCCTCACTGAAACCGAATCTGGCATCAGAAATGCTCGATCACCTAAGATTTTTTAGATATCACGTCAATATGATTTTTACACATATTTGAAGTTATATAATATCGTTAGGTAATTTTTTTGTACATCTTTACTTAAGCATCTTAAAGTACAATCCTTCCCCTTCCCAAGCGAATTTTGAATCGTCCAAATATCGTTTTTTTTTTTTCACCGAGATATGATGATTTGAAGTTACCGTCTCACCAAATTATGCACTCAGATGCAAAGTCCATGACAATGGCTGGACAGTTATAGTAACCTGCGACGCTATAACCTCGCGGGTTAAGGAAATTGGGGTGTAAGGGTCGGGGATTATAACGTCGCAGGTTACAAGGATGGAGGGTTCAGGAAATCGGGGTGTAAGGGTCGGAGGTTATTTCATCGCAGGTTATAAGACACGAGGGTTAAGGAAATTGGGGTTTAAGAGTCGACAGTTATAGCGTCGCAGGTTACTACAGAGAGACCCAGAATGATTAAAGTGTTTGGAGCTCGCAGCATGTGCTTCTCTCTGTCAATACTACAGATTTTTATATGCTAAAGATGGTGTTAGAAACAGGCTGCGTTCCCCAAACGCTTCAAACATTCTGGATCTCTCGGTATAACTGTCTAGCCGCATTGTCATAGACAGTTTGGTGAGACGGTAACTTCAAAATATCATATCGGTGAAAATAAAAGATATTTGGACGATTTAAAATACGCTTGGGAAGGGGAAGGATTGTACTTGAAGATGTTATTCTTAGTTCTGCAAAAAAAACACAAAATATGTGTAAAAATCGCGTTTTTGGACTTTTAGGTTAGGATATCTTAAAAACAGTTGATCGAGCATTTCTGGAGCCAGTTTCGGTTTCAGCGTGCCAAAATCTTCGCGAAATGACTATTCGTACTGAAT